AAAGACCTGCCTGTGTCGTAACGATGGAAGGGTTCGATTCGGTTTTTCCCTGAGAGCACAGCGCGAGCTGGAGGACAAGGTGTGGCTGAGGGGCATCCAGGAGACGCCACTTTTTTAAAAAATGTGATTTATGTGTCTAAGTTATGTGTCACATTTTTTTAAAAATCACCGCGCGGAGGCAGGCTCTGGGGGTCTCCCTCTCCTGCGTACGGGTATGCATTGCTTCGTTTTCTGTAGAATGAGCGAGACTGCACTTTTTATTAACAACCCCATCCTCATCAGCATCACGCTCACGTTTACAAAAGCGATAGGGCTTTTAAAATGCTCGATTGCTCACCGAGAGCACATGCTGGAGGCGCGTCCGAACCCTGGCGCCCCTCCCCGAGGCTGCTGACCAGAGGCTGCTCAGAGAGCGGAAACTCCAGCGAAGCTTTCGCCGCGAACGGGAGCGCTGCTGTTCCCCTGAAATGCCACGGTGGCAGGGGAACTGTAGCCAAAGACCTGCCTGTGTCGTAACGATGGAAGGGTTCGATTCGGTTTTTCCCTGAGAGCACAGCGCGAGCTGGAGGACAAGGTGTGGCTGAGGGGCATCCAGGAGACGCCAGGAATGGACAACCGCGGGCTCAGGGGGCTGCTGCAGGCGGTAGGAGCCAGCCCTCAGCCAGGGGACGTGCGGGAAGGTGCTGCTCATCAGGAGTTCCCCACCTGTCCCGGCCCTCCACCAAGCTCACGCAGGTGGAGCCCTTCCAGGACTCTAAACCGAAGCTCTAAGGACGATGCTATGGGATTTGCCGTGAAGAGCCCCACACAGGTGTTGGTTTGTTGGTAAAATATCTGCCTCTGGCAGGAGAGGAGGAAGCTCCTGGCCGATGACCTACGGCTCTGGGCAAAGAGCCCACTGAAACCATTTACCAGAGCAAACCCAACCTGGAGGACTTATCCCAGGGGTCCTCAAACTCTTTAAACAGGGGCCAGTTCACTGTCCCTCAGACCGTTGGAGGGCCGGACTGTAGTTTACAAAAAAACTATGAACAAATTCCTATGCACACTGCATACATCTTATTTTGAAGTAAAAAAACAAAACGGGAACAAATACTATATTTGTATTTGCATGTGGCCCGTTTGAGGACCCCTGGCTTATTCACTCTGAAATGTCTGCGGAATGTGGCCATTCTGCAGGCCGTTAACTCCACTAATTACAACACAGTTCAGGACGTAAGCCTTCACTAAGGGTTCCTAAGGTTCCAAGGCCCCTGCAGCATGTTGGGCTCCCCACACACACCACCCGGGACCCCCAAGCCGAGGGAGAGAAGGAAGAAACAAATATTCATTCGCTGAGGGCCCAGCATTCTCCTGTGTCATGGCTCCACAGCCGCTCTAGGCAGGGATTACCATCGCGGATAGGAAACAGGCTCAGAGAGGACCACGGTGCCCAAGGTCAAACCTCAAACCAAGAGCTGGGCTGGGATTTGGGATCTTCTGGCTTCGAGTTCAGTGTGCTCACAGCTTCTTCTCACCCAGTCATTTAGAAAAAATAACAAGACCGTCAAACAAAGAAAACAACAGCTTCGCTGTCCTTTCTCTCTTCGCTGTCTGTTCCCTAGAGATCTCCCCAGCACATTGGCGGGGGCGTTTACCACGCGGCGGGTTTACTAGGACGGAGCTCCTAGCAGGGGCCGGCAAACTGCGGCTCGGCAAACCGCGGCTCTCGAGCCACATGCGGCTCTTTGGCCCCTTGAGTGTGGCTCTTCCACAAAATACCGACTTCTGCCCATGGGCCACGAAGTTTCAATCGCACTGTACGTGCACGCCCGCATGTGGTATTTTGTGGAAGAGCCACACTGAAGGGGCCAGAGAGCCGCATGTGCCTCGCGAGCCGCGGTTTGTCGACCTAGAGGACAGAGTCTAGTCTGGCCTTTCTAAGCGCCCCCCGCCCCCCAACACTGAGCAGAGAGCTGGCAGAGCGGTTGCAGGGACGGGCTCCCGCGGCAGTTCACACCCAGGCCCTGCCACTCATGAGCTGGGCGACTCCACGCGATGCCTGCCCTCCCTGGGCCCCCACTTCCTGGTCTGTGATCATAACAGTAGCTGTTTTATAGCGGCGTCAGGCAAATTAAATGAGCGAACACGTACTTGCAAAAGACTCAAAGGAGTGTTTGACACGTGTGCTCACTCAATAAATGTGAGCTCTTCATGTGTCCGGGGACTTCCAGAGCCTTCACTTCCTCAACCTGAGCTCTCCCAGGTGCAGAGGAGTTTAGATCTGAGCTGGTTCCTCGCGCGTCCCTCATAACGTCCTTAACAAGTCCACAGGGTGCCATTGTTCCCAGGCAGCTTCACCCCGCATTCCAGATGACCATAGCCATACGAGGTGGTGCTCAGTACTTCCCTGATGATTGAATGAAAGCAGAAATTTCAGAGACTGAGCTACAGGAGAGCAGTAACGTCTTGCCCAAGGTCACCTGGGGAGGTGGCAGTACAGCCCCGACTTTCTGACAAAGAATTCCTGTGCTTGTCCCCTCCCTCCTTCCCTCCCACAGAGGTTCAGTCCCCTGACAGCCCGCCCCCCTCAGGAGCAGTCACCCCCCATCTCCCTCCGCTGGTCCCTCCCTGCCTGAGCTGCCTCTCATTCCGGTCAGCTCGAAACTCGCTGGTCACACAGAAAGCATTTTATCTGACCTTCCACATGCAAATTCTCTCCAGTGGGATTTCTTGGTGTCCAGCTCCACCCCAGCCCACATGGCCATAAACACTCGTGTGTCCGCAGCCCGGCCCCGGGGATTCCAGAAATAACAGCAGGGCCCTCCATTAGAAATGCGGGGACAGAGGAAGGCATTTCTGCAGGAAGACATCGGCCCCTTCCAGCCCAGGCCTCGCCTGTCCGTCAAAGCACAGAGCAACCTTTACAAGCCCGGACAGGGAGGGGCAGCTGGGCAGGAGCACAGATTTCTGAGAAGTCAGCACCTCCTGCGATCGGTCTGCACGCTCAGATCTTCCTCGCTTGAGATTCTCTACTCTGCTCCCGTCTCCGCTTGGAATTTGAAATGCTTTCTTGGCTGTGGCATCCTTTGCTTTCTTTTGAAAGAATTTATATTATTATTATTATTATTATTATTATTATTTTAAATGTATTTTTATGGATTTCAGAGAGGAAGGAAGAGGGAGAGAGACATAGAAACTTCAATGATGAGAGAGAATCATGGATCGGCTGCCTCCTGCACGCCCCCCACTGGGGATCCAGCCCGCAGTCAAGGCATGTGCACTGACCGGGAATCAAACCGTGACCTCCTGGTTCATAGGTTGACACTCAACCCCTGAGCCATGCCTGCCGTTCTATTTTATTATTATTATTTATTTTTTTTTTTTGGCATCCTTTGCTTTCAGTGACCCATTCTCCCTCAGATGTGCTGGAGCTGGGATCACGGCAGTGTGAGCACAGATGGCGATTTTCACGTTCGGATGACACAAAAGCCGGTTCCCAGGTGCCCAGAACAGCCGCCTTTCTCAGGGGAGGGCCCTGGGGAAGTGCCAGGAGAGAAGCGGGGCTGGAGGGCAGGATCTCTTCTCTGTTAGAGGAAAAGGAAAGTGCCAGCCATGACCCTAAATATAAGGCACGTGGGACAATCTTTCTCACCTCCCAAGGTGTTCACCAGGAGAAAGAAGCCACCACCTAGGGAGAGTAAGACCAGAAAATAAGAGGTGTGTACACATAATACAACGATGTGAAAAATACGTATTTAGATCCATAACCTGAAAAGGCCAGAAAGAAATATAAAAATGGTTGCTTTTTTTTGGTGGGGTGGGGAGGGATTAATGGGTGTTTTTCTCCAAATTATCTCTAAAGTCATTTCTCATTTTAAAGAAAACCATGAAACCTGGCATTGCCAAAGAGACCTGCCTGGACCTTTTGGGAGTATTTTACAGGGGGAATTTCAGGTTTTGGGTGCCGGTCGGAAAACTTGAATTTCTCATGTAAAAGCCAGACTGCAGCCACTTTCTCCAGCAGCTAATTCCTCTCTGGCGGAAATGGGATGATTTCTAATTCGCAGCCCCAATCCTAACGTCATGAAAGGCTGGGTTCAGGGTATCGAGCTCCAAACCTTTGTCACGCATAGGAAGGCGGAGGAAAGAAAGGCGCTTGTGCAACGAAACCGCCGCCGATGGTGTCACCCTCGCGGGCCGGGCCGGGCCGCAGCTGCCCGAGTCCACGGGAGGCAATGCACCCTCTGCACCACGGCTGCGGCAGGCGACGCCGTGCGGGCCTCCGGCTCCCGTGCCGCACCCACTAGTGCCGGGGATGGCGGGGAGGACGGGGGGAGTCGGTC